AAAACAGCCCACCAAGGCCAAAGGACTTTAAATCAGAATTAAATCCCTCAAAAAAAATTTATCTTCTGTACAAAATGAGAGATGTTTTAAGAAGAGAACAACTCCAGAAAAATGAGCAACAGAAAAAACTGAAGAATGTGAATTGAAATATTACGAAGCAAATTAATAAGGTGACGAAAAAGAAAAAAGTTCTTCCCCAAAGTACATTCATGAAAGAAGTGTTGAGAGCGCAACAAGCACTGTCTAATGCTGAAAATAAAATAATGAGACGGAGTAGTCTCAACCAGAATAACAATCTCATTGACAACAATCAACATTTGGAGAAGGAACCAGCACAAATTCAGCTCAGCGCAGAGCAGCTCTGCAAAGCCAACGATGCTCTTTTAGGTCAGTTTGAGCTTATTCCACAGCAGCCCTCCACAGGGTCAATGACCACAGAATGCAGTCTCTCTGAAGGCAATGATGCCTGATGAACTCAGTGAGTCTTCTAAACTGCTCCAAGAGGAGCTTCAAGGGCTGAGGAAATCAATGCAGAAAAAAGAAGCAACAATGAGAACCCTGGAGAAAGATCCTGGAGATTGTCCGATTCAATCACTGCAACCTCTGAACTAGAAAGACAACGTGAACAAACTGATTCAGAGGTTAAGCAGCTAAAGGAGAAACAAGATGTTTTATAAGACCTACTTAAGGAAAGAGAGTTCTTAATCAAAGCCAAAAGTGATGCAATCCTTCCTTTAAGTGAAAATTTCAGTAATAAAGTGAGTGAAAAGAAACTTTTGAGGCAGGCAGTAACCAATCTGAATGAGAGACTATTGAATTTTGAAGGTGACATGTGGAAACTCAAACACGAAAATGAAAAAACAGTAGAAAACTTCATGGGAAAAGGAAACAGAAAATCAAGCACTACAAGAGGCAAATATGCAACTTTCTACGATGAGGAAAGAGAAAGAACTGGAATATGCTGCAATGACGAAAAAGGCTCTTGCTGTAAAGCAACTACTGGGAAAAAAAAAGAACAGAGCAAGGCAGGGGAATTAAGTCAGCTTTTACAGGCAGTAGCATCACTCCAGCAAGAAACAGTTATGTTTCAACAGGAGCTAAATGAAGTCATGTTGGCACTGAAACAGAAACAAATGGTAAACTGTCTTAGAGAGGAAGTTCAATATTTACATGACAAAGAATTATACTTAAACCAGGACCTGGAGAGATCCCTTAACCATGCTTTAGCATCACAAGATTCTCCTTTGCCAGAAGCTTGGGCTGCAGAAGATGGAGCAGCTAATCTTAGAAGGAAAGTCAGTACTGGAGGAAAAGTCAGGTTTGTCTTCTAAAGCAATGGAAAAGGCAAGCCATCAAGCTAGTCTGCAGGTACAGTCACTGCAGGAACAATGTTATCACCGCGGAGAGAGATGAAAGTGCACTACAGCTTTCTGTGTCTCAAGAACAAGAAAAGTAGTATGCTCACGCACTAGCTAACCTGAAGTTGGTACCAGCTGAAAGGCAGATAGTCTAGACAGAAAACTGGGAGTGTTACAGGGGTGTCTGGATAAAGGGATGCTGGCTTGAATTAGAAGGAAGAACAAATTAAAGAATTTAAATAACAAAATGAGGTAGAAAAGGTAGTGCTAGATAACCTAAAAAAGAAATTAATGAACTTATACTAAGTAGCACAAAAGGAAAAGTCAACACAGTCCAAATGAGAAACCTCTTTAGAGGATATTTTCAAACATCAAAACACAAAGGTCATTAAGTGTTACAATAGGAAGCACCCTGCATATCAAAAGTGAAGGAATGGAGTTGCTCAGCGAAGACCAAGGCAGGTGGATGACCAAGTGGCTGAGATCAAAAAGTGTCCCCCACACACCTCTGAGGCCAGTAGTCCATGCACAAGGGTTCTTTTTCAGAACTTTTTGTTAAATATCTAGAAGCAGACTCTTACTCAGTTTTTCCAGCAGCAAAACACTCTGCTTGTGATATAAAGCCTTGAGATTCACCAGGAAAGACAAAACAAGCTAAAAATGTGCCACCAAGTCTTCAAACTACCAGAGGACCCACACCCAGAAAACAGATGTGAATTCCTGTTCCACAGTTGTGTCTTATTCACCCACCTGGACCTGCAACTGGTGGGTCTGGGCAGGCATCTTCTTCTAAATGCCATTACTAATGTTTTGCCCACATATTCACCTTTGCTACTGCCATCTGACAAGAGTACTCAAGTTGTTCTGAAAGACCTTCCAAAGCAAAACAGATGATTCTTGAGCCAGAAATAAGAGCACTTTAAAGCAGTGGCCTTTAGGGAAAAGGCACATATTTGTTTTTGTACTTTTACTTTGTTTAATAAAGACATTCTTAATATTTAATAAAAAAAAATTGTTAGTGTTGTCATGAAATGTTTCAATATACAGTGGTTCCTTGGTTTTCAAATGTCTCTGCTGACAAACATTTCGGTTTACCAACGCTGTAAACCCGGAAGTAAATGCTTTGGTTTTCGAACACACCTTGCAAATCGAACATGCCACATGGCTTCCACTGAGTACAAGATCCTGAGGCCTAGCTGTCACTGTGGATCCCTTGGTTTTCAAACGTTTCAGAACTCAAACAATCTTCCAGAATGGATTACATTCGAAAACTGAGGTACCACTGTAATCCTAAACTTTGGAGTTGGAAAGGGGAGCCTGAGATCATTTACTATAATGGCCCTGCTAATGCAGACATTGCCTCTCCAACATTCCTAGTGGTTACATGGCTACAGCAAGACTCCAAAAATCCACCAAGAACTCCAATCTTTATCTTTAAAACCAAGAACTGATTAGCCATAACCTTAAGGCTGGATGTCTCAGAGATGGGAGAAGATAGGGTACAAAGTACAAGTTTTCTTTCCTGAACTCAGATCATAATTACATGAGAAAATATGTAGCAAGCTAGGAAAGAAAAAAAATGTTCAAACTAGATATGTTAGAAAATTTCAGAATATATTTCACCAACCAAAGCAGTCTTAAAAGTGAAATACAGCCTGGCCTGCATGGCTAAGCAGTTGAGCATCAACCTATTATCCAGGAAAACGTGGTTCAATTCCTGGTCAGGGCTTATGCTCAGGTTGGAGCTCAATCCCCAGTGGGGGGTGTGCAGGAGGTAGCCGATCAATGACTCTCTCATCATTGATGTTTCTATCTCTCTCTCTCTCCCTCTCCCTTCCTCTCTATAAAATCAATAAAGATATATAAATATAAATATAAATCAGCTGCCTCCTGCATGTCCCCGACTGGGGATCGAACCTGGAACCCAGGCATGTGCCCGGACTGGGAATCAAACCGCGATCTCCAGGGTCCTAGGTCGATGCTCAACCGCTGAGCCATGCCCGGCTGAGCTATTTTTTTTAAAAGTGAAATACAGCTACACTAGGCAAGTAAATACCAAAATACCATAAACTCTTTAAGAGTTAAATAAAAACATACAAATGAGAACTACAAGGGAAACAATACCCTAAATGTCACGGGAAAGACTCCTATCTGAAACAAGTATAACCTATCTGAAGCTCCCAGATGTTAACAACAGGGACAACAGCTTTGAAATAAATGCCCTTAAGATTGTAGCTATTTCTCCCCCAAAATAAAAACTTAAGAACTTAGCTTAATATCTCTCATTAGAGCTTATAATTTACGGTACATTCACTTTGATTTATTTCACAATTCCAGTGAAATGCTAAAGAAAAATAAAGTTCTCCATATATTTAGAGAGGGATGAGTAGGTTTCACCATTGCTGACAAACCAGAGAAAAGTCAAGCAGCACCTAATACACTTAGTTTCTCATTGCAAAGCCATTTTAAAATGGCCCATTTGAGGCCTACTTCAGATTAAATATATATATATTTAGCTTTATTTAAATATACATATTCTTAGTTTTAAAAGGAAAAAAACAGGCTTATCTTTTCTATTTTTAAACTATAACAACTAAAACTCTAAAGCTTCCACTAAGGAGAGTTTGTGTTAAATTTACCACAAAACATTCTAATTTTATAAAAATCAAACATACACATTAATCACTATAAACTTGAAAAGAGTTTCTCAAACTTCTTAATCAATGACCAGTAACCTCAAAAAAGGATATTTAAGAGTTGCAAAGTGACTTTTACATTTTAAAAAACGCTTACTGAGCCCTGGCCGATGTGTCTCGGTAGGTTAGAGCATCACCCCTATATACAAAGGTTGTAGGTTTGATCCCAGGTCAGGGCACATACAAGTACCAACCAATGCATAAATAAGTGGAACAAGAGGTCGATGTTTCTCTCTCTCCCTTCCTCTCTCTCTCACTGAAAATAATTTTTTAAAAAAGATCCTCACCTGAGAATATTTTTCCATTGCTTTTAAAG